GCCCAAATCTCATGTGAAGTCTCTGACTTTTGTGTTGGCGCCTCCTGGTGGACTATGTGTAAAATACAAGAATTCATTTTGTTGTTGCTGCTGCAGCTGATATATATTTGTTGTCAAAATACCTTTTAGTACATATGTTGTTAAAATAAAATGAACAGTCCAATGATCATTTTACTGAAATGTATWAAGACTGCAAAGGCTGAAAAATCTTGAAGTCTGTATGAAATTGGTGGTAGTTTGAGCATTAATTTTTTTAAGTTTTTTTAAGCTCAAAAAGAGGGGTGTCGTATTATACATGAGATTGTATTATACATGAATTAATACGGTACATAAATGCCATAAAAAATTGTCTAATTGACTGCACGTGCATATGTGTGCAAAGCAGATCTCGGCCTGAAGTAAGGCCCCCACCAGCGGAGTCAGAAACCCTCGGAGCGACTCTTGTTCATTGCCAGTCAAGTGTTCACTCACGTTAGCCATCGCCAACTGAACACATTTGGCTTCACCCCATAAAAAAAAGACAAAACCACACCATCAACTGACAACATGGTGCCAGTGCCCCTGGCATAAACACAACCTTTAACACTCCTGCTATCCACCCTCTCTGTCTGCCGCTCTCCGATTCTGTCTCTCTCTGTCTGCATCTGAATTGTGGCTTTTACTGTGATGCAGCATTATTTGTTGTGCAGTAATATGATATTGATCTCTGTAAGTAAATAGTCGGTTCCTCGCAACCGTGCCAAAGGCGGTTCAGAAGGGCAAGAACAAGCAGTGGATTGAGATTTTCTCAGCAGTACACACCACCACCAACCCAGCCCTGCACATGTTGTTTCTTTTCATTAAATACGAAACATGCAGCAAGGATAAAAGTTCATGTACTTACACTTTTTAAATCACACGGCTGACCTCTTTTTTTTTACTTAGTTTTGCGTAAAAACTCCTGTAGAAAAATATTCACATTTGTTACCCTGTGTCACAATAAATTAAATAAATTTTGCATTTATAGTGTGCAAAAAATCAAACAAAAAAAAAAACAATCAGAATTATTTATTTTACCTATAAAAGGATAACAGTGAAAACATATTTGGAAGAAATCTGCATTTTGAACATGTCACAGAAAAATTCAACGTAAAAACATCATCAATAAAGTCATGAAGCGCACTCGCACTACCTCCATGTCCTGCGCTCATGGAGGAATATGTCATCCGTGACGGGACTGTTTCTGTGTGTGTGCATGACTGAGCACTCATATCCTCGAGTATGTGTGTGTGTGTGTGTGTGTGTGTGTGTGTGTGTGTGTGTGTGTGTGTGTGTGTGTGTGTGTGTGTGTGTATAGATGAGAAGCGACAAGAATTCACTCCCTCTGGAATATTCACCATATGGTTGAAAGAGCTTGTACCTGGTGCTGAGCTGCTTCGGAACACACACACACACACACACACTCACACACGTGCACTTGCTCGTACACACAGCTGCTACTCCTGCTTAAACACACCTAAGAGTTTATTAGTGATGATTTAGTGTGCACAAGTGTGTTTAAGTGTGCACATTTTGTACAGTGTTTTTGCTTTTTATCCACACTCATCCATTAATCTTTAATTTTTACATATTTATTTTTCCTTCCAAAAAACTTTTTTCCTGCCTTTCCACGCAGGAGTCACATTCAGATTTTTCAAAACGCAATGATTAGCCGAAACATTACGACCACTAAAGAGCACAATAAGTAGCACTGCTCATTTTGATGTAAAAAAAAAAAGATGTTTTGTAAACCTATGAATTATTGTTCCTAACGTCTGAAGTTGTCCCTGTACACAGGTCATTATGTGCTGCTACTCAGAGGCTTTAATTAATACTTAAATGAAATGCTGGTGGTGCAAATCCTTGATGCGCTCGTCATCCCCCGCTTGAAAGGCGTGCCTCCCACCCAGACACGGAGTAAATCAAATGGAGAGAGAGAGGCAACGCAACATGGAGAGGCTGAGAGGGCGCTATAGTTTGAGAGGCCTTTTCAAGTGGCCATTTCATCTGTGCTAATTGATAATTCCCCGTGACTAACGCACCACTGACTGGCCTTTGAGCCATGCAGGCTGGTGATTTCTAAGAGAGAGAAAGAAAAAAATAGAGAGAACGATAAGCTCTGCTGAATGTACATTAATTCAAGCTTGTCAGCCACTTGCTCCATGTCTGATGTCTGTAAATAATAACAGCAAGGATAATGGCTTACTAATGACAAGTTCATACAAAGGGCAAACCCACTTTATTGAAAAATTATATATTTTCTTTGATATAGCTCATGATCCTTTGTCACATTATGCTTCACAGACAAATATAGGTGAACATCTAAAGCTTTTAGAGTAATTGATGGTTGTATGTGTTGCACATTTGCTCTAAACACATTCAGCTTGCGTTTGTGAGGTTAAAATGTCTTCTGGAAACCTTGTTCCTGCAGTCATTTTCAGCTAGATTTCTGAGCGTTCCTGTGCCTAGCTGGTGGGATTTACTCCCATTCACATGGCCATGGCTGCTGAGTGATAACATCTGAGTCACTGCGCGTGTTGTGATTCATGTGTTGCACACCAAGCCAACAAAATATGCTTTGATTAGACCTCTCTTTATGTTGTGGCTACTTTCATGTTGGCACATCGAAAGCATTCCATTTCTTACACATTTTTAGGTGCAATCTGATTTAATATACTGTTGACTTGTGACTCCCTTAAACCTTCCCCGACATGGATAATGGGTGTATTTTTATTGCGTATGGCGGAGCGGACGCAGTGTAAATTACGAGTTAACATGGAACTGACAAACTTTTCTCTTGAAATGTTAACTGTAAGACATTGATAATAGTATCTAGTATTAATATTAGTATCAKYCCTGAGTATTGKGGCATTATACACAAGTACTCAGAGTTGTAAAGTAGCTAAGTACAAATACTTTGTTACTGTACTTAAGTAGGATTTTTGGGTATCTGTACTTTACTTGAGTAATTATTTTTCAGCCTAATTTTTACTTCTACTCCTTACATTTTTAAAAAAGGCCAGAAGTAGAAAGTTGTTCCAGCTTGTTATTGTAAAAAATAAATACTATTGTGCCTCCTAGATAGAGTGAATTTAACTGTGGTTGAATGAGAAGTATAAATATATAAAACTCTGATACCATATTAGTTTGTACAAAAACAAATCATGTCACACTCCAGCAGGT